TACCAGTGAGGGGCTCCCCTGCCCTGAACTGCCCCCTATTCTCCTCATATAACACAGGGGTGGCCACATGTGGGCCCCAACCAGTGGGCAGAGCTGTGGCCACCGCATAGGTCAAGCGGCTCGGTGAGCACCCCACTAGCCCCAGAGACCCTGGTGATCGGGCGCCCACCCTCCTCCCAGTGCAGCCGCGTCCTGCACCTGTGCTCGCCTCCGGCTGGCCTCGGGAGACAGGCCCTGGTGCAGGAGAAAGAGCACAGGACGGAGTCAGGAGCCCCAGGTCAGGCCTGGCTGTGCTGCCACGTGGGGAAGGCCCCTCCTTGTCTGGGCCTCAGTGTCCTCATCTTGGCATGAAGATTCTGCGCCAGTCTCGAGGAAAGCGGCAGCCCTCTGTCAAGCACGATGTGTTAAAGCCCTGCACAGGGGATTTCACATAGAGCTTCAAGGGCTCCACCACCCTCTCGGGGCCTTCAACAAACTTCCCAGGGGACTTTGGATCCCAGATCAAGGACCCTGACCTGCCCATCGGGACACAGCTGCTGGCCTTGGCCTCCAAACCTTCCCCTTTACTGAGTAGTCAACAGTGTTGACCTAACATGATGGCAGGGCCAGACACCTCAGGAAAGGTGTAACTCTACACAAAGACTTACTGGCCTCCAGGCTCCTCACCAGGTCACAGTGGAGGTGGGAGACGCTGCGAACTTCATGGGTGCCTGGCCAGCTGACCAAAGCAGCAGGACGGGTCTGAAGACGGTTTCAGACTGTGACTACTGGAGGGAGAGGACACAGTGACAACAGGCGTCCCTTCACTGGGGATAAAGCCTCTGGCCACCAAGGCAGTGTAGGGGAGTGGGAAGAGCTTAGGCTCAGCAGCTAGCATGCCCTGGGTTTATGTCGGTCTCTGCGACGTAATTGTGCTATTTGGGCATGTTATTCAACCTCGACCCTTCGGGTTCCTCATCTGCAAAATGGAATACGAGTTATGCAACAGAAATGATAGATACACTAAATATTCCCGGGTTCCTTTAATTTCCCAGCCTCCCTTGCAGAAGGATGAGGCCAGGTGGCTAGTCCTGACAGGTGGTCTGTGAGGAAGAGGCCTGTGTCACACCTGGTTGAGGCTCTGGTGTGTCCCTGTGTTCGCTCTCTGTCTCTCCCATCTCCCACAGTGACCCCAGGGGCCAGTCTCCCAGATGGCATGGCTGCAAGGTGGCAGAAAGGTCTCCTCCCATATCAGACTCCACGTGAGTGTCAAATAAAGCATTTTTGTGCCAAGCCACTGAAATTTCAGGAGTTTTCAGTTGTGACAGCTAGTGTGAGTTACACTGATGAACACAGGAAGGGCTAATTGAAGTAATGGGGGCGGTTCTTCTCTTAAAAAACAAAACAAAAAACCTTTATTGCCCTGGATGGTTTGGCTCAGCGGTTGGAGCGTCGACCTGCGGACCAGAGAGTCCTGGGTTCAGTTCCCACTAGGGGCACGTACTAACCCCCCAAAAAAACTTTATTGTTGAAAGTATTACAGATGTCCCCCCACTGACCCCCTTCTCCCCTCTCATCCCCTCCTACCTTCCCCAAACTGTTGTCTGTGTCCACTGGTTATGCATATAAGTTCTTTGCTTTATCTCTTCCCAATCCCCCCAACCCTCTTCCCTCTGAGGTTTGTCCCCCTACTTCCATGTCTCTGGGTCTATTTTGATCTTCAGCTTATTTTATTCATGATTGGCTTATTTCACTTAGCATAATACTCTCCAGGTCCCTTCATGTCATTTCAAAGGATAAGAGATTTTTCTTTCTTACAGCTGCATAGTATTTCATTGTGTAAATGTACCACAGCTTTTTTATCCACTCATCTCCTGATGGACACAGTTGTTTCCAGATCTTAGCTATTGTAGTGTTGCTATGAACTTAGGGATACATATATTCTTTCTGATTGGTGTTTCAGGCTTCTTAGTATATAGTTCTAGAAGTGGAGTCACTGGATCAAATGGCAATTCCATTTTTAATTTTTTAAGGAAACACTGTATTGTTTTCCATAGTGGCTGCACCAGTCTGCATTCCCACCAGAGTCCCCTGTTCTCCACACCCTCCCCAGCACTTGCTGTTTGATGATTTGTTGATGGCAGCCATTCTGGCAGGTATGAGGTGATACCTCATAGTTGTTTTAATTTGCATCTTTCTGATGATTAGTGATGTTGAGCATTTTCATGTCTCTTGGCCATTTGTATGTCCTGGGGGCTGTTCTTAAAGAAAAGACCGAAGCCCCTGTGTTACTCAGCTCAGCTGCCACAACAAAGCACCACAGACTGGGTGGCTTAAATGACAGAAATTTCGTTCTCACAGTCTGGAGCTGGAAATCCAAGATCAGGTGTGAGCGTGGTCGGGTTCGGGCAGGAGCTCTTCCTGGCTCGCACACAGCTGCCTCCTCCCGGTGTCCTCACAGGCAGAGAGAAAGAGAACACCTCTCGAAGGCCCGTCTCCAATATCATCACACCGGGCAGGGCTTCCACATGGAAATGGGGGAACACAGTCCAGTCGATAGCAGCCCCCGTCAAGACAGAGCTCCCCCAAACCCTCCTTCCTGCCTTGATGCTTGACTGCCAGGTGCAGGCCTGGGGCCCTGGGGCTCTGGGGACAGGCCTGATGGGTGGCCTTCTCTATAGGGCGGTGGCTGGGCTATAGGAACAGCTGCTGTTCCCCTCCCTTTGCCCATCCTTCCATCTGCCACCCTCCACCCACCCCAGGCTCTGGTTGCCATGGAACCTCATTAATCAGGCAGGCAGACCCCTGGCCTCTTGGAAGTACTAGGTGGACTGGGCCTCTGGGAGCTGGAGAGGAGGCCCCAGCGCCAGCAGAGGGTAAACATCCGAGAGGTCTTGATAAAGTCCTCCCTGAGCAACAACAGGCTCAGATCAGTTCAGAGTGGGGGCCAGAGGAGATGGCTAAGTTACATGAGAAGGGGGTGGAGGCCTGGAGGTTGGACTTGTGGGCTGCAGGACAGGGCGTGGAGACCAGTCTGACTGGTGCAGCCTGTGGGTGAAGGTTGGGCACAGACTGGCAGGCAGGGGCAACATGCCAGGCAGGATAGGGTCTCAGTAGGGGCCCAGGGTAAGGAGGTGGAAGCTGCTCTACGGCTGGTGGAGGCCCAGGTGGCAGCCGGCCCCATGCCCAGTGCTGCCTTCCTTCCAGAATCACCGAGATGCTAATAATAACAGTAGTAGTAGTAGCCATTGTTTTGAGACTGTTTTGTTTGTCAGGCTTTGTGCCAAGCACTCTACCCAATTAACTCCATTAACTCTCTCAACAACCGTCCCCTTTTACAGATGTGTAAGCTGAGGCCAAGAGATAGTAGAACCTTCCCCAGTCATTCAGCTAGTGAATGGTGGAACCAGTCCAACCTTCCTGAGCGGTTAACCTAACCATTGGGACACCTTGCCTCCTGGAGATGCTAATCGAGGTTGAGGGAAGCCCAGGGCCCTTCTTCCTAACGAGTGATGATGGTGGTAGGTTGTACCAGGGGCAGGTCCCCTGGCTTGTCTCCCAGTGGCCTGTCCCTGCTGGTACCAGCTTCAGGCCTGGAAAATAACTTCCATTGAGTTGACTTGACAAGTACTCAGCGGGCCCAGGACTATGGGTCTGGCCCTTGGCAGTTGGATTCCAGGCTCAGAGGGGCCAGGTACTGAGCCAATGAAACCTGCCTTCTGCTTTGCCCAGTGGTGTCCGGGCAGCCGCAGCGGGCCGAGCACGCCACTCATTCACAGTTGAGTTGGTGGGCAGCCATGAGGCACCGGTCACAGAGGCAAGTAAGGGGCCTCTGCCCTCACAGCACTTGGGGCTAGTAGGCATTTTCTGCTGGTGAGCAGGGGTGGGGGCTGGCATCATCCTGGAGCTGAAGTCCAGAAAAATGGGCCCAGCTTTTGCCCTCCAACACCTCCCAACTCGTATCTGTGGGTAGCCACTGGCCACGTGAGCTGTGGCCTCCACCGATCCGCGGCACTGGTGGGTTTTTTATGGGGGTGGGGGGCATTCTTGAAACAAGCTACAGGGGAAAAAAAGACAGAGCCTGTCAAATCTTTTCTCAAGAGCACATGGTCAAACGCAGAAGCAGGGTGGGGTGTACGTGTGTGCGTGTGTGTGTGCGTGCGTGTGTGTGTGTGTGTGTGTGTGTGTGGGGGGAGCTTCATTCAGGGGAACCGAGAGGAAGGCCTCCTCCCCAGTTCCACGGGTTAGGCACACTCCCTCCTCCTCCTCCCTGCCTGGCCCTCGCCCCTCCCCTCCATGTCCTCCACATTTCACAGATACATTCTTAGACAGTTAATCGGCTCATAGGGACTGGCGGAGGTCACCTTGCCTTACCGCCTGACTCTCACAGCTGGCACGCGGGCCTGGAGGGGTGTGAGGAGCACGGCCGGGCTGGCTAGCCGACCTGGGGCGGGGGCGGGGGGGGGTATTCCCCAAGGACGGAGTCAGAACAGCGAGAAGGACGCTATTTTCACCCCAGCGTGCAAGTTTCGCATAGTTTTTCAAAATAAAGTTTTATTTTACAGTTTTAAGCTTTTATTTGGAAGTAATATATGTAGGGAGGCCCCTGGGCCCCCTAAATCTTATAAAATCCGGCCTGTCGGAGGCTTGAACCAGGGTCTCCGTGTTCCACCCCTTCCCCGAGCGCTGGCAAGGGCTTCGGCGGGCTGCGGGCGGGCTGCGGGCTGCGGGCTGTGGGCGGGCTGCGGGCGGGCTGCGGGCTGCGGGCTGCGGGCGGGCTGCGGGCTGCGGGCTGCGGGCTGTGGGCGGGCTGCGGGCGGGCTGCGGGCTGCGGGCTGCGGGCGGGCTGGGGGCTGCGGGCGGGCTGCGGGCTGGCGGGCTGCGGGCGGGCTGCGGGCTGCGGGGGGGCTGCGGGCTGTGGGCGGGCTGCGGGCTGCGGGGGGGCTGCGGGCTGTGGGCGGGCTGCGGGCTGCGGGCGGGCTGCGGGCTGCGGGGGGGGGGGGCTGCGGGCGGGCGGGCTGCGGGCAGCCTGTGACCATTAACTCCCACCCCAGCTCCACGCGAGCGCGACTCCCCCGCCCCCGCCCCGGCTCGCGTCGGAAGGAGGGTGTCCCGAGGCCCCAGCGCACAGGACCGCTGCTGCCAAGGCCATGCTCTCAGCCCTGGCGCTCCTCGCGGGCGTCCTGCTCCCCTGCTGGGGCACGTTTCCGCAGTTTAAAGGGCAGCTGACGAAGGTGAGCGGAGGAGCGTTTGAAACCCTCCCCTGAGCAGAGGGCGGCGGCCGGGGCGGCAGCACAGTCTGGCCAGAGGGACCGCTTGGGTTTGGGGAGCGACGTGGCGGGTGGGGTGGGAAGCACCAGACTGGGGACTGTCCCCGGCTGGAAGCTTGCTGTGTTCCCAACAGTCAAAGCGCTGCTTCACCTCCCTGGTGGCTCTGGAGGAGAAAGAAAGTGGCCGTATGACCAGCACCATCCCCTCGCTCCGCCCAGCGCCCGCTCGGGACTGGCGCAGCCCTGGACCCCAGCCACCCCTTACCTCCCTGCTTGCTGCAGCCCCTCCCGCCCCGCCCCCACTTCCAGGCACCATGTCCCTCTCTCCCCTTTTCCATCTTTCTCTCCTCCCTACTTGCTGCTCATACTCCTGTTGAAGTGTGATCTAAGAGTATTTGCTCCCCCAGCACAGGTCAGCCTTTGGGACCCATAGAAATGAGGGGCCCCAGGGAGAGGAGAAGGAGGCAGAGGGGAAACACTAGATCCCCACTCCTCTGCTCCCCGCTCTCTGCTGCTGGGGGCGGTGGGGGGGGGGGGCAAGCAGGGGGTGGTACCTGGGAGTGACCATCTCAGGGCTTCTCTTCTTGGACCTCTGGGGCCTTGGCAATTCCAAGAGCCCTCCTGCACCCTCGCACACAGCCAGACAGCTGGTGACTCGGGGGTGTCCCCACAGATGAATGGAGCTTTGTGTTCCCATCACTCGGAGTGCTACAGTGACTGCTGCCTCTTGGACTTCAACCGAGGTGACACCTTCTGTGCCCCCAAGGCTAGAAGAGCCATGGAGTGCTTGCCCCAGGTGAGGCTCTGGGGTGGGGCAGCCCCTTCTGGCAAGTAGGGTGGAGAAGGTTAAAAAATACCCACATGGCCTGGCTGGCGTGGCCCAGTGGATTGACCGTGGTCCCATGGACTGAGAGGTTCCGGTTTGATTTCTGCTCAGGGTGCATGCTGGGGTTTGGGGCTTGATCTCCAGCAGGGGGCGTGTAGGAGGGAGCCGATCTAGATTTCTCTCTCACATGGATGTTTCTATCTCTCCCTTCCTCTCTCTCTAAAAAATCAATAAAAACATATATTAAAAAAAAAAACCCACCATATGCCCCTGACTGGTTTGCTCAGTAGTTAGCGCATCAGCCCGTGGACCGAAAGGTCTCAGCTTCAATTCCTGGTCAAGGGCATGTACCTAGGCAGCAAGTTTGATCCTCGGCCCTGGTTGGGGTCGTACAGGAGACAACAAATTGATGTGTCTCTCTCACATCGATGTTTTCCTTTCTCTCTCTCTCCCTCTGTCCCTTCCACTGTATCTAAAAAAAATCAGTGGAAAATATCCTTGGGTGAGGATTAACAAAAAGACAAAAACAAAAACAATAACAAAAACCCACATGGCTGCACCTGCTTTTTCACCCTCTGCTTAGGGTGCCCTTCCTCCTTCTCCACCTGGCAAACTCCTACTCGTCCTGCAATGCCAGCCACTCCTCCTGACAAACCTTCTTCCCTGGAATTCCCACTCCCTTGGCAGAGCATGGCCTCCCTGACTGGCCTTCTGTTTGTGTCTGCCACTGCTTGGAGCTCTTCAGTGGCAGGATCGCAGCATATTCCTCTCTCTCTCTCTCTCTCTCTCTCTGTCTCTCTCTTTGTGGTATGTGCCCCTAGCGGGAACCGAACCCGGGACTCTCTGGTCCGCAGGCCAACGCTCAACCACTGAGCCAAACTGGCCAGGGCTCTCTCTCTTTTTTAAAATATGTTTTTAAATTGATTTTAGAGAGAGGAAGGGACACACACACACACACACACACACACACACATTGATCAGCTGCCTCAAGCATGCCCCCTACTGGGGATAGAACCCCAAACCCGGGCATGTGCCCTGACTGGGAAGCACTGGGCCACAGCCACCAGGGTGCAGCATATTCATCTTTGACCCCCTACTCCTCAGCTCAGTGCCTGCACATAGCAGGTGCTCAACAAATGTTTGTCGAATGAATGAATATCTCTATCCTAACATCACAGAGGCAAAACAGGTGGGGAAAGCCTTCTCCTCAGCAATCCCCACCTCCCTGCCACAGTGACCTCACTTCTAGAGAGAAGCAAGGCGCTGCAGTGGCAGGACCACAGCTTTGGAGTTGGACTCGAGTGCAAATTCTGACCCCCCCTTGTCTTTGTGACCTCAGATAGGTCATTTCTGTTCTCTGAGCCTTAGTTTTCTCATCTGTGAAATGGGGTTAAAGCACCTATCCCACCAGATTATTGGGAAGAGTATGTGGTCCTGGCAACGAGCTGAGCATGCTCGTTAGCTGGTGGAAATGAAGGGAGCAGAATGTCCAGTACGTCTTGTTCCTGCTCATCTTCTCTCATTTGGCCCTGGGCCCAAGCCTTTCTAGGAAAAATGGGTTTGGCCTCCATGTCCTGTGTGAGGAGCTGTCCGTGTCCTTAGGTAGCAGCCAGGTCCCCACCTGACTTCTATAGCTGCAGTGGCCAGAGGGTCTTTTTATTATGGGCACTTGATCTAATTTATTTCATTTAATCCTCATAATAAACCTAGGAGGTGGGTTACTGTTATTAGCCCTGTTGACAGATGAGGAACGGAGATAAAGAAGCTCATTAAGTTGCCTGAGGTTGTGAAGTTATAAGCTGTAGAGCTGACGGGCCCCAGGTCTGCTCCCCAAGAAGTTTAAACCCTCTTCTTCCCTGCACCTTGGTGACCCCCAACTCTCATACTTATTTTCCACAGACCAAGGGAGCCACCAACATCTTATGCCCCTGCCAGCTGGGCCTGCATTGCATATCCAAGAGCATGGGCTGTCCCCCCCAGTGCCATTTGTTTTAGAGGAGGATGGGGGCTGGTCACTGCCATCCTCCTTCCCTCCCTTGGAGCCAGAGGTCTCTGGAGCCCCCACGTTGTTCAAAATCCCACTCCTGACACATTAAAGTCACTCCCTGGCCCTGGCCTCTGTCTGCATTTCCTGGGAGAGGGACCCGGTAGAGATTGCTCAGTGAAAGGGGAGACTGGAGGTATGGGGAGCACTTCCCATGGGGTTTGGCCTTGTCTGGAGGCTGGTGGCCCCAGGGCAGTACTTTGGGCAGGGAAGGGGGTGGGGGTGTGTGGCTGAGAGGAGGCTGGGTTGAGGAAGGGCCGATGATGATAAAGGGCTGTGTGGGAGGGACAGGGTTGAGGACCGTGCCTGGAGAGGGTATGTTGAGGTGCCCGTGGATGGGTGTGTGGTAGGAGGGACTGGGAGGCAGTATGTGAATACTTTGTGAGGGGGCGAAAAGGTGGCGGTCACGGAGAGTATTTAGGAGAACACGCTGTGAAGTATAAACGCGGGAATGCTCACACCTGTGGTGGGAAAGGGGCCTGGTGCATCCACATCTCCATTCTCTCAGATAAGATCCCTTCCATTCTATGGATCAAGAAACAGGCTCCGAGAGCTCCGTGACTTGTCCAAGGACACACTGTGGGCGTCAGTGAGGACTCTCGCTGCTGCAGAGATACACAAACAGCGAGGGCACTCGGTGCGAAGTGCCAACAAAGCACGATGTTTCCATCGGTCCAAAATGCGTGACATCATCTCTTAGCTCCAGTGGGTCCACCAGAAACGGACACTGGATTCCCATGACAAACACAGTCACTGTGTGGGCTAGTGGACTCACTTTCTGTGTTGCTACATGGACATGTACAGAAACACACATGGGAATAGAATGGAACCTGTTGGCAGAGGAGCCCCAAAGGAATGGAGAGATCGGTAATGGTCCCAGCAGGTGGTATAATTAATTGTTTCAAAACCAATTCCTAACCAATTCCAAGTGAAAGCACTGTGTACCCATTAAAATATGGCATGACTAAAGAAACCTTCAAAATAAAAAAACAAAATTGGTCCAAATGATGAGGGAATTCATTGGTGGTCAGCACTAGAAATCCACAGGCGGAGCAGGCCTCAGGTCTGGCTGAATCCAGCAGCTCCATGGCCCTCAGGCTTGATTCTTTCCCAACAGCCATGTAAGTTCCAGATGTCACCTAATAAAAACAGCTAGGATTTATTAAGAACTTATTATGTCCCAGACAGTACGCAAAGTGCTTTCTAATCTGTGTTAGCTCACTATTACAAGGTTACAGTAGACACTGTAATGATTCTTATTTTACAAATGGGAAGTTAAGGCTCAATAACCCTTCTCAAGATTTGGACAGGCTCTTAACCCCAAATCCACCTCACATATGCATATCCTGCCTTCCGGAGAAAGGAAACACCTCTGTCCCAGAATTCTTAGCAAATATCCTAAGATTGATTCTGATTGGATTGATTTCGTCTGCAAACTCACCCCTGAATCAGTCATTGTGGTGGGATTTGCTGATTGGCTTGGCCTGGGTCATGTGCAGCATGGAGTCAGCACCCTGGGGTAAAAGTGGAAGGGTTTTGGGGCCCTAAAGAGGCTCGTCTGAGGGCAGAGGGGATGGGTATCTCCACACTGTAGTCTAAAAGCTCTGCCCTAGGATGTTGTTTTTCCTCCACGTAGTTGAAGATGGCTCATTACCATATCTGCTGGGTCCACATTCCAGTTAGAAAAAGAGGGTAGGAGGACAGACAGCAAATGCTCACCTTTCCTAAAAGGGCATGACCATCAGGCAGCGTGAATTATTTTCACGGGGAAGACTTGGTCACATGACTGTAGCTAGCTGCAAGGGACACGGGGAAATGTAGTTTTCATCTGCCCAGCTAAAACTTAGGGTTCTGTTATTATTTTTATTTTATTTATTTATTGTTTTATCCTCTCCCGAGGACACTTTTCTTTTTTTTGCATTTATCTTCAGATAGAGTGTGAGGGAGAGATGAGGGGGGAGAGAGAAACATCGATGTAAGAGAGACACATCGAGTGGTTGCCACCCACACCGCCCCAACTGGGGCTGGGCACAAGGTGCAACCAAGGTACGTGCCCTTAGTGGGAACTGAACCTGGGTCTCTCTGGTCTGCGGGCCGGCGCTCTAACAGCTGAGCCAAACCGGCCAGGGCTATTTTTATTTGTTATTGTTTTTCTTTATTGATTTTAGAGAGGGAGGAAGGGAGAGGGAGAGAGCGATAGAAACATCAATGAGAGAGAACATCGATTGGTCGCCTCCTGCATGCCCCCCACATTGGGGATTTGGCTCACAACCTGGGCATGTGCCCTGACTGGGAATCAAACGCTCAACCACTGAGCCACACCGGCCAGGCTAGGGTTCTGTTATTAAAGGACAAAGGGAGAACCTATAGTGAGAACAACCCACAGCCACAAAGCCCTTTATTACTATCTTAATGAGCAAGAGGGCTTGGATGCACGACCAGAGCTAATGGGGTGCTGTTAGGCGGCGCTCTCCTGGGCTGTGCATCTGGCTTCACCACAGCTCGGGAGGTGGCGGTGGAGGGGCTCCTGACACCCCGCTTCCCAGCAAGCCTGTGGTGAAGCCCTGCCGAGTCCCTGCTGAAAACATGGCAGAACTGTCGACAGCTCTCAAGACAGCAGCTATCTATGTCTACGTCCGTGATCAAGTCATGGCTTTCTTTTCTGCAGGTGAACATGGCAAGATTCCCATGAAGATTGAAGACTAAAAAAAAAAATAAATAAAAATAATGAGCCCTGGCCAGTTTGGCTCAGCGGTTAGAACGTCGGCCTGCGGTCCAGAGAGACCCGGGTTCGGTTCCCACTAAGGGCATGTATCTCGGTTGCAGTTTGTCCCCGGCCCTGGTTGGGCCGTGCAGGTGGCAGCCACTCGATGTGTCCCTCTCACGTCGATGTTTCTCTCTCTCTCTCTGTCCCTCCCACTCTATCTGAACAAAGAATGGAAAATGTCCTTGGGTGAGGATAAAAAAAAAATTGAGATTTCCTCACAGTGTGCCTGCCCCCCCCCCCCCCCCCCCCCGCAAACATTGAGCTTAGGCTTTTTTTAAAAATCCTCACCCGAGGATATTTTTACATTTATCTTCAGACAGAGTGTGGGAGGGAGAGAGAGGGAAACATCAATTTGAAAGAGACACATCAAGTGGCTGCCACCCCCACGACCCCAACCAGGGCCGGGGACAAACTGCAACCGAGGTACGTGCCCTTATCGGGAACCGAACCTGGGACTCCCTGGGCCGCGGGCCGACGCTCTAACTGCCAAACCGGCCAGGGCAGTCACCCTTAGGCTTAATGATGAGCTTTGTGGCAGGTGTGACTCCTCTCCTCCAAATTCCCCCACAAAGTAAAGCACTCTGAAGCCAAACGTGAGGAGTGGGAGAGGGACGAAGTAGGGAAAAGACAGAGCATGCCGATCCTCCCAGCCTGGGCTTTTGGAAGGCAGGTGTGCCATCCTTTGCCTGTTTGCCCTCCTCACTCTGCTCTTTGTCCCTGCGAGCGCATTTCCCGGTCTCCGTTGGCTTCTAGGACTGGCTGCACATAGGAGGGCAGAAGCTGGGGCAACTTCCGCTTCAGGTGATGTCACCAGCAGTCCTCTTGTTTCCTGTAGAGCAGCCCCTCCTGCAGTCCCAGCGACTCCAGTCACTCAGCCTGTCACATTGCTTCCCCAGCAACAGGGACACTGGTGTCCTGCTGTGGCTGTCTGTCTCCCTGTAGCCTTGACAGCCTTTTTGTTTTCTCAGCTCCACCGTCACCGCTATGACCATTTCTGTGTATTATATTCCCTCTGATTCAAATCCCTAGAGTAATTTGTCTTTTTGACTGGACTTTGACTGGTAGAGAAGGAAATCTTCCAAGTGGAAGCAAAGCTGATTCTGGAACACTAGTGTTCACATCAGAACACTGAATCCACTAGACCCAGAGATTGGTTCAGTGGGTGGCCAAGAGGCTCCTTCTGCTGCCCTGGCTTTAGGGACAGGTTTGGGGATGGGCACATGACCCTGTCTGTCCAATCAGTGTGCAGCTTAGGATTTTAAAAAAGTGTTTATTTATTTTTTATTGATGTTAGAGAGAGAGAGAGGAAGGGAGAGGGAGAGGGAGAGAGATAGAAACATCGATGAGAGAGAATGTCAACTGGCCGCTGACTGCACGCCCCCCACTGGGGATCGGGCCCACAACCTGGGGATGTGCCCTGACCAGGAATCAAACCAGCAACCTCTTGGTGCATGGGTCGATGCTCAACCACTGAGTCACACTGGCCAGGGCAGCTTAGGAATTGTATGAGTAACCAAATTGTAATACTTTCTCTTTCACTGGACTTGAGCATGGGAGAAAGTAGGTCTGTGGTCATTGGCAGCCATCTTATCACTATGTGGACCCAGAATGAAGCCAGCATAGAGGAGACTGGAGCCAGGTTATTGTGTCTTCATTCAGCTCCTGAAACATGCTGTGCTTAAGCCAGATAGCCGTACTTTATTTATTTATTTGTTTGTTTGTTTGTTTGTTTATTCTTTATTGATTTTTAGACACAGAAGAAGGGAGAGGGAGAGAGAGAGAGAAACATTGATGAGAGAGAACATCGATTAGCCACCTCCTGCATGCCCACCCACTAGCAATTTGAGCCACTGAGCCGCTCAGGTGGCCCACATGGCTGGACTTTCAAGTTACATTACCCAGTAAATTCACTGTTGTGCATAACCACTTTAGGTTGGTTTTTTTTTTGTTTTTTTTTATCCTCACCCGAGGATATTTTTCCATTTTTTGTACAGATAGAGTGGGAGGGAGAGAGAGGAAGGGAGAGAGAGAGAGAAACATCGATGTGAAAGGGACACATCGAGTGGCTGCCACCCACACAACCAACCAGGGCCGGGGACAAACTGCAACCGAAGTACGTGCCCTTAGCGGGAACCGAACCCGGGTCTCTCCGGACCGCAGGCCGACGCTCTAACCGCTGAGCCAAACTGGCCAGGGCTAGGTTGGGTTTTTGTCACTTGTAATTAAGTAAGTCCTGACTGATCCTCTGTCCCCTGAAGAT